GGATTCCTTTGCTTTCTCCTCCGTACAATACGACTGCACACAACTGCATCGTAAAGGAACACCCTAGCTTCCTCAGGAAAAGGAAGTGCCACAATAGTCTGCTGTGGGTACTTGAAAAAATCACTAGGTTGCGTGATGAAGTGTAACCCGTAGAAGCTTATCACCCTGACGTCATTTAAGCCTTCGGTTCGGTGAAACATCGATCCCCGCCGGAAAAGATAACTTGGTTTGGACCTAACCCTCAGCTACTTCCTCAGTTGCCTGCATAACATTGTGGAAAAATGTTCATTAGTGGGGTTGGCGAAGTTGCTTCTGGTTAAGTTACTGTACATATTGGTGTTCCCCAGTGTTCAGTAATCGGTCAGTTGCTATGTCTTATGTTTATAAATTGCGGCTCATTATCTTGAGGTCCCATCCCACATGCCTACAGCTTTCAAGCTTGTTTGCAAGGACTACAGGACAACGGTACGCAACGATTTGGCCATTGTCATTAAGTGTGCACCTCATATCTTTTTACTTCGGCACAAGCAAATGGACGATTTGGCAATGCGTAATGAAAGCGTCGTACTGCATGCTACCATGGGGTCCCAGACCTCGTAGCATACAACCAAAGCACTCCAATTTGGTGTCATCATGACGAAGAACTTCATACCGTCAGTGAGACGTAAACTTGTTGCCAACATTGCACCAGAAAAGGTTTTGGGCTCAGGAGGATCCTGAGTTGTACTGAAAGAGAGCCGCATTCAAATCTCGTGTATTATTGGATTCAAACCTGGACACACCTTCTACAGAAGGATACAGATTTTGTTGATAATATTAATAAATATATTAATAAATAAATTGTATATTCTCGGTAAAACGAGACACACATGTAAAGGCGCCATCAAATATGCATACAAGCAGAGCTTCTTTGGAATATTAAAACATTTCGTTTTAAGGAAAGGCATAACCGGAAAGTTGTAGATTGGCCGCTCGAAAAAAGGACGGTAACCTAACGTGCGATCGCGTTAAAAGAGAAGGTATATTATAAGAATAATTAATGGCGACATCCAATATCATGAATTGTCTCAGTAGATTTAGACACATTATACTCTGAACCAGTGGTGCCTGACCGCTTGCAGGGCTATTGCCTGAAAATATTGCTTAAACAGTTACGTACCTCGAACCTCTGGTTTTCACTATTAAGAAGGAATTTTCAGCGGCATGGTAGAAGTGAGGACTTTAAACATTGTCTAGAAACGAGTTGATTGGTCCTGTTCCCCGAAGTGGTCAGTTACCCCTTGGTGTGGTCTAGAACTCGGTCTTAGCTCCACCAGAATGGTGGTGGTGTTGGAATGCAGCTCTTCATGAAATTGCTTCTAACTACAGTCTCCCTACTCGTTGCATGGGACATCAAATTTCCGGGAGGTTGACCTTGTTACTAGCTAGGCGCACGGACAGCACGGCTTGGAGTTTCTTGCCAGTGATATAGAACACGGCTTAACGGAGCACACGGTGGCAAGATAAGTAAAGCTTGTTGAAACACAACTTGCTGCTTAATAACGAGCCACAACTAATTGACAACGTAAAACTAAACTCCCCAATCTGTGCCAATGACCACTTAGTTACCAGTTTTCGGTGATAGCAAGTGTCACACTCAAGGCTAAAGCAGTACCCACTAGGCTGAACTTTCAGCGAGTGGACAAAGAGGCGATCAAGGAGCACCATTCCGAAATTGACTGGTCACTCGCAGTACAAACTTCCCCGGTCAACGACCTTACCGCTCCGAGCAACAGCGCCTTTAGGGCATACGTTCCTACAGTGCGTGCTTCTGCGCCGAAACGCCTCAAGCATTTGCTGCCGGCCACACTTTCGCTGGGCAGGAAGAAGCCCTCTTGGACAATGTCTTACTACTTGGTGACTCCGCATCGCGAGCACAATACTGTAGAGTACAGATATCATGGTAGTAGCTGTTCGCCAAGACTAGCAGGACGACCGGCTTGCTCACGCTCGATGCTTCACCGTGATCTCCAAGGCCTTCTTCCGGCACAATGCCGCTCACTAATGCATGCTGACAATGATAGACTGATTGGACCCTAAGGCAACAGAAAAATTATGGACAAAGACGCTGGGGAAATGATGAATTTTTAGTGCAAGTCCGTTTGTGGCACCTTGGCACTCCGTACAACAGTGGAAAATACTTTCCCTCCCAGCGCTGTCAGACATAAGGTACGGTATCCAACGTAGGAAGCTCTGGAAAAAGCAGACAAATGATGGCTGGAGAAATTTCCGGGGCTTGGATGGATCCCCCATCTTTCTGTGTGAGTGTGCCACCGCACCGCCCGAACAGCTTGCCCTACCGAAAGCCGCGCCCATACCAGAGCAGGATATCCCAACAGATTAAATTAAGTGTTTTAACACCGATGTACATAAGTTGTGATAGGCTGAACACTGTCAATTACCGCCCATGAGCACTAGTTCCGACTGCTTTTAAAGTACTTGAGAGCACCAGAGGCGAGGTTCTGGTCTCTCATCTAAAAAGACAGTCCCTACTCAGGCTGACGTGGATTACCTAGACTTCGAAAATTCTGTGTCCGGTCAAGTCAAACAGTCCTGTTACTTTAACCACCGAGTTTTGTTATTGGATATCAAGCAAGCTCCTGGCTAAGTACCTACAAAGCACGGCAAGCCTAAAACGTTTGAGTAAGTGGAATGCTCCTCAGCCGTCTGGCTGCGACAACCGGAGTGCCTCAGGGACCTATATTCGGGCTCCAGCTGATCACGCGGTTTATTAATGACCTACTTCTTCCAGTAGCAGTCATTTGCTGTTTTATGTGCGCCATGCTAAGGTATGGTGACCTACCCGCGAACCAAGCGATTAGGCGGGTCTATGGAGAGAAATCGAGGCTGCCTACCCCTAAGTCTCGGAGAAATGCTCCCGCTCAGCATCGCCAAGTGGAAGGTCGCGCACATCGGAGAAGGTGTAGGCACTCAGTGCATCATTAGCGGCGGGGCAGCTTATAGCTACATCCCACCAAGGCGACGTAGGCACCATTATAGCTGCCAACCTGAGCCCGATCACTAACGGAGCCATAATAAATCGATTGGACATCGTGCGCCTAAGCGGGGGTTAGGGTCTTTCGTTATAGAAATATTAGTCCACCATTTGAGATGCACGCTAGTACGACTGTTGTTGGAGTGCCATGTACTTGTCCAGCGGCCGTACACGAAGGCAAACGAGGTTCTGTTGAGAACCGTCCAGCGCAGAGCCACTAAGAGCGTGGATGGATCACCCTGATTATAGTACGAAAAGCGCCGTATGGCTGTTAATTTCTTCCCACTGAAATATCCTAGGCTTCGTGGGTTTCTCACCCGAGCATAGTCTATCCTGACTAACAATAGGCCTTTCACTACCGAGTTACACTTGCGCGCCCGCACAGATCATATAAGAGGGCAGTCGCTTAAACGTCTGACTCGAAGTGGGTCATTTCGGTGTTGAAACCGCAACTTTTGTGTTCATATTGCCTTCATCTGGAACGTCCTGTCGGAAACTGTTGTCTCAGCGCATAATGCTGGGTTTTACCGAAACGCCTAGATGCTTGGCTCCTTCCTCGCTGGTATTTCATGTTGAAAGAATTGGGCCATTCGTTAAGCTAGCTGGTTTGGGCCACTAATTTCGATACACTATCGCCATGCACTCGTCTCACGTAGCTCTTACCCAAATTTACAGAACTGTACCACTGGCTGACCTCTTTATGCCTCCATGCTCTTACGTCTATGTCCTTACGTGCAAAGCTATGGCAACGTCAACTTCGATCGTTTACATACACACTAGTACCTCACCTCCATGTAGTCACATCACCACAATCGCGATGCTGGATACCTGTGCCCGACACCGCCACCGAGTCGCAATTTACGACCCGCGTAACCCACGAAAGCAACAGGATTCTGCTGTAAGGTCTCGAGACAGGACAACCGAAAATCGAAGCCTACTTGTTCTGCAGAAACCTGCGCAACTCATGAATATATGTGAGGATTCATGGTAGAAACTAACCACATGATATTGGATTATGCAAGCACTTATGTTGAAGCGAACACACCAAAGTCTCTGTTTCGCTTACTGGCTCGTTAGTCGAAAGCTTGAATAGTGCAAGGTTTACGTGTGCTAACGTAAACGTGTCCTTAGCTTGGGTATGTACTCAATGCACTACCGCAGAATTAGTGGCGACATGATCCTCACTTACCGTATCTTAACGGATAAGATCGGTCCAGACTTTTCCTGGCCATTTAGTCCCGCCAAGCTACCTAGTACCCAATGTTACAAGTTGAAGCTGCACAAACAAATTCCTGACGGGTAAGGACGGAAACTCGCTTGTCACGCCGAGTTATTGAACGTTGGAACTCACTTTCAGAGCACGTCGTCAGGGAGTCTACGGTAAATAGTTTCCAGCGTCAAGTAGATGCTCTTGGGTGGCAGTACCAAACCTCCCCTTAGCCTAACAGAGTTTTATCTTCAACTTTCCCTTCCTTTTGTTAATTTCTTCTTACACATTGGTATCATCATTATTCAGCTGACATTACTCCTTTTGGTTTCTTTGCTTACCCAATGCTCTTTTACTTCACCTAAACCGGCCTGGCAGGGACTGCTGGCAGGAAAATTTGGGTAGTAATTGTTTGCACAGAGTGTGATACGATCTCTATTTTAGGCCTTTCAGCATCTCAAGCAGACCTATCAATGCCCGATCCGAACATACACAAAAGAAGGAACATTCAAGGGATTCTCCTATCGTTCCGGTTCTAACTGAACTTGGACATGAAGTTGACAATGGTGACCCCGTGTTTCGTCATGTCCTGAGGAGTCACAAACTATAAACAAAATAGTCAAAAATATGGTTATGTTATAAAAGTATCGTTAATTCAAATGTAAAGTACATAACGGTCTTTATGTTTTCGGTTGCTTGTATTTATTGTACACATAAGTCGCGGAATTGGAAAGGTCACTCAATGTTGCATTTTTCGAAATGGATTTGGCTTCGAAAATTTCTGACAGGATAGCGCAAAGCGGCGGCAAAATTTTGTGTAGCCAATTAGTTGCGGACTTTCAGCCTAATGTCATTAGGGATAATGGTTAGTTAATTTGCCCTGCAGTTTTCCAGTGTATTTTGTTCACTTTCGTTGAGTGTATTTTTCCTTAAAGACAGTCGTCTTAACGACCCAATTTTAGCACATGACGATAAATTGTCGACAATCATAGGAAAATCGACCAACTTTGTCAGGTTTTTTGGTACCTTGCTATCAGTTCGACTTTTATTTGGTGGTACTTCAGGAAAGCAAGAGATTTCCTTTGCTTTTCCTTTTTGAGTGTCACGGCGGAGTTCCTGTGGTCAATCTAACACCAAAAAGAACGATACCAATCCACTTCAATCATATTAAAATCATACAGTCCATGACCGACCCGTGGTCTTATGGATCATAAGCTTGCCTTATAATTCGTGGAAGCGTCTTCGAGTCTGTGTAGAGGACCGGGTGACCTTCGCAGTATCCTTAGTCCACGCGCGACTGTTAGTGGTTGCACTGTAGCAAAGCGTCGGTACTGCGTATCGACGTAATGCTGGTACCCAACCCAACCCGTCGCAACGAGACTGGACCTTAACGTGGTGCGACGGTTTGCGTACCTCAATGACCCATTGAGCTATACTGGATGATGCCTCCGAGCATCTTGAGAGCTACTCCTACCAGGTTAGTCAATGGTGAGAGGTCAGACAAACTCAGTCTCCTGGTCCTCCAGGTTGGGGGTTTGAAATGGGATGGCGTCCATTTCTGTAAAACTAAATCACTGCCACCTCCCCGCTGCCTTGCGGACAGGCTTTTGAGCCAAAGGCTTTGGATGAGGACCCTAATCGTCTTCCTGTCTAGGTCTGGGCGCCCTGGCAGTATCCCAGCCCACATACAACCATGACATTTTCTTCAAACATAAACTTCATCCTGTATCGGCCGTCGCGCAGATTATCAAGGGTCGCCTTATCTGCTGCATACAGCAGGGCGGATAAGCGAAAACATGCTACTGCTGGCGCCTCCCTTCTTTCTTTTCCACCTTTTTCTCCTACTCCCATCCCGGCCCCTATTACTAACCTTCCTTCTATAATTCCCAGCTTAATTGACAGCAACCGAAGTGCTACTGGAGTAGTACCGTCTGCAGCCACCATCCCACAGCACCTATCAGACGCCTATCGGCAAAAGTCCCTTATAAGGCCACGCTGTCCCGTTTCCATGGCGACATTCAACGTCCACACTCTAAGACAAACAGGTCAGCAGGCTTCACTCGCACGTACCTTGGATAAGCTTGGTGTTGATGTGTGTTGTGTGTCCGAAACTAGGATTAATGACCCTAACGGGGTTATTGAATTGACTGCACCTAGCTTATCCTCTCGTTATTGGTTGCACGCATCCGGAGACGCCGATGCGGCACTCACGGGTCAAGCTGGTGTAGGTATCATTCTCAGCTGCAAGGCTGAGTCATCGTTGGTTGATTGGATTCCGGTGAACAGCCGTTTATGTGCAGCCCGTTTGACGACATCAGCTAAGGTGAATTCGCGAAGTAAAACAAAACGCTGTTTGTTTGTGATTTCTGCTTATGCTCCCACCGACTGCAGTTCTAATGCAGTCAAGGACACTTTCTATCACGAACTGGACACGCTGCTACGCAGTGCTACTAGTTCAGATATTATAGTACTTGCAGGGGATATGAACGCACAAGTAGGGCGTCTGAGCTCTTCAGAAGCTCAGCTGGGTGGTAAGTATGGACTTAACGCCGAACGGTCTGACAACGGCGAGCGTCTGCTGCAACTGTGTGCGGAGCACCAGTTGTTTCTTACTAGCACTGCTTTTAGACACAGTGGGCGCCGAAGTGCCACTTGGCGTCCACCTGTACCTGGCCAGCGATGGACCCAAATTGACCACATAGCCATAAGTTACAGGTGGCGCGGTTCCATTCTGAATTGCCGCTCGTACTGGAGTACCTGTGTCGACTCTGATCATGCCTTGGTGCGCTGTCGTTTCTCCATGAACTTTACCGGAAGGCGCACAAAGCGTCTCCCCCGATTGGCAACGGAGAAATTGTCCCAGCCCTCTGTCAGGCAAGCCTATCAAGAAGCACTGCATAGCGAACTCTCGCTGTCTTGTCCCAATGACACTGAACTTCAGTGGAATAGAATCTCGGCCGCTATGCACGACGCAGGAGCATCTGTTTGTGGCACTATCAGTCGTCACCGCACCAGTCACTGGATATCCGAGAGGTCGGTGAACCTGTTGGAAGCTAGAAGACACCTCCCGGCTGGTTCTGAACACAATGTGACCAGACGGGCTATTAGGCGTGAACTAAAGCGGAGCCTACGTGCTGACAAGGAAGCCTGGTGGACCAGTCGGGCTCAAGAAATGGAGGAGGCAGGAGCAGTAGGCAATTACCGCAAGCTCTTCCAGCTAATCCGCACCACTGGTCCCAGAAAACCAGGCGTTAGTGAGACAATCAGGGACAGCGCGGGTGCGCTGATACACAATAAGGAGCGCTGTATGGCTCGTTGGGCTGAACACTTTCAAGATCATTTCAGCTGGCCCCCTGCTCCCGGACCTCTTCCTACTCAGGTGATGCAGGACGTGCCATGGACGGTTAGTTTAGAGCCTCCGTCGGAGGCCGAGGTCCGAAACGCGATCACAGCCCTTAATCGTTTTCGTGCCGCTGGCCCGGATTCCCTCCCACCTGCACTATTTAAGGATGGAGGTGAGGTCCTCTGCAGGGCACTGACCTCCCTATTCGAACGTATCTGGAACGAAGTGTGCCAGCTAATTGGAGCGAATCGATTATAGTGGCAATATACAAGAAGGGCAGTCGCAGACTGTGCGAACCACAGGGATATTAGCCTAACGCCAGTTGTGACAAAATTACTGGCCTCGATTATCGTTCGTCGCCTCACTGCAGAACGAGAATCTCGGATTAGGGAAGAGCAGGCCGGTTTTCGTCCAGGACGTGGCTGTATAGACCATATATTTACTTTGCGGCAGGTGCTAGAGCAGCGCCACGCATACCGCAGACCGACAATAGCTGTGTTCCTCGATTTCAAGAGTGCGTTCGATTCAGTCGATCGATCGATTCTGTTCGAATTACTTGCGCGAAAAGGTGTTCCCACGAAATATGTGAACATCCTTCGTGCTCTATACTCGAACACTAGAGGCCGCGTCAGGGTCTATGGTGCCCTATCGGATAGCTTTTCAACTACAAGTGGCGTTCGTCAGGGTTGTCCGATTTCCCCGTTTTTGTTCAATTTCGTCGTGGATTCTATCATGGAGTGTTCCCTTGCGGAATCCCACGATGTAGGCGTTGAAGTGCTGCCTGGTGAAAGGTTAGTTGATCTAGATTATGCGGACGATATCGTCTTGCTTTTCGACAATGTTGAGGCGGCACAGTCAACCCTGAATAGCCTATCCAGAGTGGTTCCATTATTTGGTATGCACTTCGCACCTTCAAAGTGCAAAGTGTTGCTGCAGGACCACCAACCACTTGATGACCCCTTGACGCTTGCTAACGAGGAACTCGAGGTGGTTGATCAATTCACTTATCTTGGCAGCTGCATCAGCAATGATGGGCGCATAGAAACTGACGTGAGCTCACGCATTGCAAAGGCCAGAGCTACCTTCTTGAACCTACGGCATCTTTGGCGACAGAAGGGAGTTTCCCTCCGTCTGAAAGGCCGTGTATACAAGGCCACAGTGAGGGCCGTTCTGCTCTATGGTAGTGAAACTTGACCCCTTCGGTCTGAAGATCTGAGGCGCCTTCAAGTCTTTGATCATCGTTGTTTGCGAAGCATTGCTGGTGTCGGATGACACCAGCGTGTCCGCAACGATGATGTGCGTAGGCGAGTACTAGGTGGTGATAATCATGCTAGCTCCCTAGAACAACAGATAGCACTGAATAAGTTGCGTTGGCTCGGGCACGTGCTACGCATGCCTGGTCACCGCTTACCTAGGAGGGCCTTGTTTAGTCTACCAGGTGTAGGATGGCGCAAGGCTCGAGGTGGACAGAAGTTGACTTGGCAGCGGGAAATGAAGTCACTGACAACTAAACTGGGTGCCGTTGGTCCGTCTCGTCTTCCGGGTTGGAGTCCACGTGACTCACCTTGTGCTTGGCTTGAGACTTTACAGGACATGGCTCGCAACCGACACCAGTGGCGCGTCTGCTGCCGTCTCCTAATCAGATTGTCTGTTTAAAGTGTGTTTGGTGCTGAGTTATCTGCGGGGTAATGGCTGATTATGACGCGTGGCAGTGAAAGCCGCAAGGAAGCTGTCTCGCCGATGCCGCCTTATCTTTGCACGATAGCCAGCTGTTTGTGACGGAATGTTGTCTACACAAGGTGTAGGCGCCTTGACCCTGAATGTTTGCTTAGGGCATTAAGGTTTTCAGGTAAGTCCCCCTTCTCTCCCTCTTCTTATTCTTTATTTCATAGGTCCTCATGGTTGTATGGCAGCGAAGCATCAGTTCAAATGGCTGATGTACTGCTGTTGATGATGATGATGATGATGGTACCCAACCAATGCCCACGTGGCTTATACTAGCGGTCCCTACTGTACCGGACACGTTTTGAAGTTATTACCCTACTGCTTGTTTGCTTACTAGCTTTGTACTTCATTGTCAATATCAATGCTTGCGCTAGGGAGATGACTTTACCAGAGGTGAGTACCTATCGGAGGGCGGATAACAACCTTGCTCGCCACCGGCTTTTGGTGGACTGAAACCGAACACAAAGGCAAATGAACCACCTGATTGTCAACGGCCTTTGTATTCAGAAACGTGCGTCAAGCCCCCGCTGCCTTACTGGTCAGGTCTTTAAGACCAGAGTCATGGGGTGGGGTCCTTTAAGTCTTCCTCGGCCTGAGCAAACGGGAAGCTCACTGCGCCACTGCTCACGGTGTACACTTTTGTGATTTAGCTTCTTGTTCCACACTGCTTTCTATGTCGCCTTCACGGAGCACCGACACTGTTGTTTTCGGTTGTATTGGACACTGAACGTACCGCAGCATCTGGCATCATGGGTTTTTCAAACACCATGACGGTTGATTCTGGTGGGATGCAGTGC